CAATAGGTTGTAGATTGTGATCTACCACCAATTTTTTATGTGTACTTAGATGTAGATCAAGATCTTGTAGGAGATCCAATCTATGACGATGCTCAAGATTACGAAGTTAAACCAATTTTTGATGGAAAAAAAAGAAGAAGAAAGAATCTCTCAAAGGAGATTCAAGAAGTTAAATTGGTTCAACTGTTGAATCTAGTGTTATTCTCAAAGATGCATACATAGTGTACCCTAAGGTTAAGTTTAGGCAATTTCATGTGTGGTGTGCCCTAAGGTTATGTTTGGGCAATTTTCACAAGTTTATGTGGCTGAACAGACTCTATCGATATACAATGACCCTTTCCTCGAGGGCTTGTCACTTTTTATGCTTGATCGTTGTGTTATGATTAGTGCAATTACCCATAAATCTGATGGTCGTATTTACAACCTTCGAATTGAAGAAGTTGCGGGGCTATCGAAATAATTATCTTAACACATTTCAAACCTTCAGGACAAGTTTTCTCCTTTGAATTGAAGAAGGTTGCGAGGCTATTGAAATAATTTTCTTAACACATTTCAAAACTCGAGGACAAGTTTTCTCCAACTAGGGGAGAATGATGCATATCAAGATCTGATTGCTACATAATTTTTCTTATTGCTACATAACTTTAATTTTATTTTTAGTGATGTGTATAGTTATTTTTTTGTTAGGGTTTAATTTTAGAAATATGATAAGTATGGGTTTTCTTGTATAAGGTTTAGCAAGATAATTAAATTGGGTGCAAAGATAAGTATATTGAAAATACACTCCGTTTCAGAAAGGTTAGGTCCGTTTCTTTAAGCCTCGGTTATGGGAAGGTTTCCTCATAGATAAAAAGCATTTTAATATAATGTTGACATGAAGGAAGGCTATCTTTAAGGGACGAAGAGAGTTTGCTTTAATAGATAGGGTGCATATGCTTATCTTCTAAAATGTTGACGTGCCAAGCTGATGAGCGAGAGTAATAAAAGGATATGTGTCAATTTTAAATGAGGCTATGTTTTTTTATGGATTTTGATTTTAATGAAAAAAAAGAGGGGTTATTTTGTAGAGAGAGAAATAAGAGACGCGTCTCTTATTACTTTTGATGACGCATGAGGAGGTCTAGACTCCCCGCGCTCGTGCTTGGGCTTACTTATTTCTTATATCTTTTTTGTTTCTCTTTAAAATGAAGTTGTATTCGCTAGATATTGATGGCCTTAATTTTTTAAAAAAATATTTTTGTACACTCTTTTTTTAGGTTTCATTTCTAAACAGATCTAATGTTTTAAAATATATCTCATAGTATATAGATCGTATGTATTATATCTAATCCGGTGGACCAACTTTACGCATTTGACCCATCTTTTTAGCTCAAATAAAAGTTTCAAAAACATCATTTTTTCTATTTCTTACTAAACCCCCGCTTCTTTATCTCTTCTTAAGTTTCTTCTCAATCCTCTTTCTTTTTTTAAAAAAAACAATTATTGAAACATTATCGTTTCTTAATTTTGAAAAAAGAGGAAAGAGGAAAGAGGTTTGAAGACAAACATAGGACCGAAGAGGGAGAATGGAGTTAGAAAAGAATAGAAAAACTAATGTTTTTTAAATTTTTGTTTGGGCTAAAAAAATGTGGTTAAATGAGATAAAGTTCTTCAATGGATTAGAAAATATAATACACGGGTCTCTATGCCGCAAGATATATTTTGAAACTTTGAGTATGTAGAGAGAGATATTTTCCTTGATTTTTAACTGCGTCACACAATTATTGAAAGTAAGTGATTTCTCTATAATTTCAATGATTTTTACAAAATCCTTCATCCCTGAATTTGAAAATGGAGTCGTAACTCAAAATCAAGCAAAAGGCAAATCAGTTTGACTCCTAACATTCTCTAGAAACTTCTCAAAGAAACACCGAAAAGGCGTTAACAAGTTGTTCTTGGCTCGATTGTATCCTTATCTGGAAATTAACTGTATCCGAGTTACTATGTCCGAAACAAGTAATATATCGAAAATAGCGAGGGCAACATGTGCTTTTGGGTCCTCAATCTAAACACATTCAAAACTGTTTTTGAAGGTCAAGAGTTTGAAGGCCCCATTGTTTGCTGTTTTATTCCCAGTGACGCTAAGTTTAGTCTTCCCATGGTTGCTACAATCGATTTGTGCATATATGAGTAGAAGTTGCATTATTGATTTTATCACTATGCTTCCATTTCCTCCGCCATGGATGTGATGGCAATGGGGAGGGCCAAGCCAAGCCAAGCCAGCCCTGGCATGGGCCCAGCCCTAGTGACTAGAGGGCCATGCCAAACCAGCCCTGGCTTGGGCCCAACTCCCGTGACTAGAGACGCAGCCCTAGCCCATACCTGACTGAACAACGATGAAGGGGACCTCGTTGAGGCGTGGAGCCTTGACTAGGCGGTACTTCCCCACAGCCCTATCCCAATTGTTGAACCTGACCTCATATAATTTGACCAAAAAATATAGAATTATTAAAAATGTACTAGGCTAGACCAAGTAGGATCATGGGCCCTGACATAGGTCCAATCCTTAAACCAACTTTGTGGCCTAGGCCGAGGTTTTTAGATCCGGCCTAGGCCACCTGGCACATTGCCTGCTTTAGAGACAGAGTTATTGCCCTTGTTGTGGTTAAGAATATCATTTCTTACCATGGTTTCTAAACAGAGTTATTGCCCTTGTTGTGGTTAAGAATATCATTTCTCATAATGGTTACTAAATTCAACTCGCCGGGAGTTTATAAGAGCATCCTTTTATTTCACAACCTATGAGTAATGTGCCCTTGAAGCTTGGCAGTGCAAAATGCATTAGAATTTAAGGCATGTTATACTCACATTGATAACTTTTAAACGGATAACTCATTAGTTGTTTTTTTGGGTAATTTAGTGGGAAATTTATTTTTTGAAAGTGAGATGTTGTCAGTGAGAATAGAAACCACAATATGGTGATTAGTGTACGGGGGTGCTACAGCCACAACCCCAACCCTTTTTCCAAGACTCATTGGTTGTTGTCATAGTTAAGTGTCATTGTTTTGCTTATTGTTTGACAAACACATTCGCCTCAATTTATAGATTTTTTGCATTTTGGGCACTGCAGGTCAAACTTTTAGCCAAGGTAAAGCTCTAGTAGTGAAATTTTGGTTATAGGTAAGAAGTCTTAAGACCCTTAACGGCATAAAGGATTGTACACAATGAGACCATTTACCTGTATAAAGAGGTCACAATTGCTTGTAACCATCAAATATGAAATTTAATAACTTGAGTGTATCATAAAGTTAGAAAAAATTTATTTTGAACTTTATACTTCGTCAATTGAATAAATGCAACCACCCAACTTCACATCCAAAAGTTAAAATTAATTATAACCATATTGTACAAAAGATAAATAATCTCATTTTATATTTTTTCAAGACATAATACTTTATAATTTGACTTCTTTTTAGAACTTAAACCCCACAATAACCAAATCAAAGAAAGAAAAGGAGTGACCATCCTCCCGCATGATGCACGTAATAAGATGCATGGATCTGTACTTATACAGTCACATTATCACCCCATGCTCAATGAACAAAAAATTTGGTCCAATGGGTTATAAGAGATGAGGGAGACAAATTCTTGCAAGAGAGAGAGAATTCTAGCAAAGGGTGGGCTAGAAAGAGAAAGAAGTGATAATTGTAGGTGAGAGAGAGGGCTAGAGAGAGAAATAAGTGATGATTGTAGGAGAGAGAGCTAGAGAGAGAAAAAAGTGATGAAGTAGAAAAGGCGTAAGAGAGAGAAAGTTAGAGAAAGAAAAAAGTGACGATGGAGAAGAGAGAAGGGGAGGGAGGGAGGGAGAGATAGAGAGGTTAGAGAGAGAAAGAGCAGATGATGGTAGGAGAGAGAAGGGGGTGGGAGACAATTACAGTAAAAGTTGGGGTAGCTAGGTGAAACGGAGAGAGAGAGAAATGGGGGTGGGGGCAGAGGTAGACAAAGCGGATTTGAATAATTGAGGCATTGATTGGGGAGCGCATGCACGAGGTGCGCTGAGGCATCGCATGTCGGAATCGCACCGACACCACGTACTCCCCCTCATTTACTCCCTCTCTTTACTCTCCCCGCATGGGGAGTTGAGGATCATACTGACCCTGCTGCACCAACCAACCCAACCCCAAGCCAAATCACCACCCTACAATACAACACCATCCCCTTCTTTCTCTCTCTTCTCCTTTCTCTCCCACATATACAAGCACATCTATTGAAACCCAAAAGTCATCGCATATTGAATTATCATTTTTTTCAAAATTACCTCTGGGTAAACCTGAATTTTATTTTTTTTGTTAGTAATGTAGTGCCTTAAAGTTTACAGCATTGCGCTACTGATAAAAAAAAATCAAAATATAAATTAACTTAGAAACAATCTTGATAAAAATAAAAAAATATCAATTGCTCGACCTTCTTCTGTAATTTATTCATATAAATAAAATATTTCACATTTTACATAAAATTTTATGGTCCTTATGTGAATGGTTAGAAAATCTTGCTCTCTCTTTCCCCTCTCTTCCAACAAAAACTCTACACCCCTCTCTCTCTCTCTTCAATCCTACTTTATTCATCATACACAATGGTCCAATTGTCACTCTTTTCTTCTCTCTCTAGCACCACCCATACCCATCTCTCTCCCGTATACCCCCTTGGCTTTATTCCAACATAAAGCTCAACCTCTCTCTCTCTCTTACCCAACACAACCCTAAAAAATTCCCTCATGTCTTGACATCACCACTTTTCTCTCTCTTTTGGCCAAAATAAGCAAACGCGGCAATTAATCCCCATACCCATATTTTCCTCACAATATTTTGACTTTCAAACCACATTTATTCCCCACCCCTCTATCTCAACAACCTTAGCCATTAGAATAATCCCCGCACTTAAGTCTCTTGGAAGAGGAGTTTCCCCCCCTCCTTTAAAAACTCCTTTCCTCCCCCCTCTCTCTTCAACCCTTAAATCCCCCCTCTCTCTCTCGCCTTTATTATTATATCAGTGGCTCTGCCGGTTGCTGAGATGTTCCATTTTAAGCCCAAACAAGTGGTCTTGCGCATGGGGGTGTGCTAGATAAGCAGAGGAAAAGGGTTTTGTTTCAGATCTAGGGTTTGGGCTTTTAAGAGGTGAAGCAGGAATCCAGGAAGAAAAAATGGGAAGTGTGTTTTGCAGGAGAAAACTGTTGCTCTGATGGTGTCCTTGTTTAAGATTGAAAACTGGGCTTTTTCTTTTCTTTGGGAGAAGAGAAACTGTGTAGTTTATTTCTAGCAATTGATAATCGGTAGAGAGGGTAGGTGAGGCTATAAGAACCCTGTTAATAAACCCCACTTCTATTCAATTGCTCATCATCCTCTGTGTAAGGAAAAGCTTTTCTCTATAGAGAGAGCTTATCATTGATAATCATGGCCTCTTCGAACAGGCACTGGCCCAGCATGTTCAAATCCAAGCCCTGCAACCAGTGGCAGCACGATATCAACTCTCCCCTCATTTGCCAGAAGCCACCATTTACAGCAGGTACTTGCACCACCCTCCTTTCTCTCTCTCTTCAAACTTCCTTTTTGTTCATCGTATGCAGTGGTCTAGTTCTCTCTTTCTTCTCTCTTTCTTCAAACTTCCTTTTTCTTCATCGTATGCAGTGGTCTGGTTCTCTCTTTCTTCTCTCTCTTGCACCTCTCAAACCCGACCTTGCTTTCCCTCTCTCTCTCTCTCTCTCTCTCTCTCTCTCTCTCACTCAAACCTCCACTAAACACGATCCATCAATTCTCGGACGCTGTCGCATGTTATTTCTAATCGTCATCAAGATTCACCATACTAGCTTCTCTTGATCATCATCGTGCTTCAATTCTCACCCATGATTTCTCCCTCTGGAACAAACATTCTTTCAAATCTCTCTCTATCTCTGTACCTTATTGCAATGGTTACATTCTTACTTATGGTTCTCTCTCCTGAAACCAGAAGAGAGGAGCCCTGAGCCGAAGCCGAGATGGAACCCAAAACCAGAGCAGATACGAATACTTGAAGCCATTTTCAACTCAGGCATGGTGAACCCACCTCGTGAAGAGATAAGAAGGATTAGGGCTCAGTTACAAGAGTACGGACAAGTTGGAGATGCAAATGTTTTCTACTGGTTTCAAAACAGGAAATCAAGAAGCAAGCACAAGCACAAGCAACTTCACCAATCCTCCGCAAAGCCTGCAACTCCTTCACCACCAACAGTGCCAAATCAAAATTACCAACCTACCCCTCAAAGTTCTCAAACCCCCAACTCGTCCTCCTCGTCTTCTGAGAAATCGGAGGCTTCTCCCGTTCAGTTGGGCTCGATAAAACCTGGGGCGACGGTTAATGTGATGGAGGGTTTGAATGCTGCAAATTCACCAACCTGTTCGGTGAACCAGGTTGCTTATTTAGGTTCACAGCCTGAGCCCTCGCCATTGTTTTTTCAAACTGAGAGCGGGTGCGAGATGAGCGCTTTTTCGGAGCTGGCTAACATGTTACAGCAGCAGGAAAAGATGAAGATGGGGCATATCGCCATGAACGATATTTTGAATGGTAATCGTTTGTTGTTTGCTTCTCTCTCAATACAGGCAATATCCCATGGACCTCACCATGTTTGATAATCCTTTCATAAGGCATCTCTCTTTCTCTCTCTAAAAAAAATTATAGTTGTTCTTCTTGCACTCTCTCTCATGTGAAAGTAAACATTTTTTGGAAACCTTATGGCATCTGTGTTTTGCTTTGCTGAAACATGGCCATGGACGTCGACTACTCCAGTAGTACTTCTTGCATTTTTCTCTCTCTCTCTCTCTAAAATCTCTCGTTTTTGTGCTACTTTCTCTCTCTAACATGGTTTGGATGGTGATGCGAGACACATGGACGTGGCGCGGCCTCATTTGTGTGTGGGGTCTTTGCAGGAGTAGGGGAAGGGACTGCGAATTCGAACGGGTGCAGCGGCGGAGGAGGAAGGGTGACAGTGTTCATAAATGAGATGGCGTTTGAGGTGGGTGCAGGCGGTCGGGTGAACGTGCGGGAGGCCTTTGGGGAAGCCATGCTCATTCACTCCTCCGGCCACCCCGTGCCCACCAATGAGTGGGGCTTCACCCTGCAACCCCTCCAGCATGGCCACTTCTACTACCTGGTACCTTACCTACCCTACTACCAAACCCTAACCCTAATCCTCCCAATTGTCTCTCTGCACCATGTTTCTTATCATGGTGAGAAAAAAAAAAAAGCCATTTTTTTTTATTGACCATAAAATCTCTCCTCATTAATTTGTCCTTTCTCTCTCCCACTTGACAAATGTTTTCAAACACTATCAAGAGCAAAACCCTAACTCTAACCCTAAACCCCCAGTTCAAGTACAGTGAATATTTCGGATTTGACTCAAAACAAAACCCTAACTCTAACCCTAACCCTAACCCCCCGTTAATGTATCATGAATATTTCGGATTTGACTGAAAAAGACAATGAAAAACTCAGATATATAAATATGACACAGGATGAGATTATGATTTATAGGTAATCTATGGATACATTAAAGCTATTGAACAATAATTTTATCTCCTTACCTAGTATACTTCACAAATTTTTGTCTACATTTTCAAAAAACAACATTAAGTCATTTTTATATCACAGTAGCTAACTTTTCAATCGTATCCCTATCTTGAATTTGTGTTCATAGCTCTTGTGAGGAAACTGCTTACAACCTAACCTAAACCCAAGACAAGTTTACCAACTTAAAGAAACCCTAATATTTATCCAAAACAAAGCCTAACTACCTAAAGAAACCCTAAATCTAGTACTAAAATAAGTTTGTGTTGCTCAAAAATAAATCTAACCAAATTACAATGCTCTTTTCTCTTTTCTTTTCTTTTTTTTGAGTAGAACAATGGGGATTACTCACCCCTACCCGTTTTGAAAGGAGTCAATTTTTTTGGAAGTGTTTGTAAGAATGGAGACTGTAACCTTTAACTGGGCTCAAATAGTACCACGGCCAATACCCAGCTCAAATAGTACAGTTTTCATGGATCGAAACCCTAATCCACAGTTCTTTTTTGTCCTGTTTGGTGTAGGTATAACTGAGGATTTCCATAGGGACATGGACAGGCGTCAAATGTTGGACTACGTTGATGGCTTTGCTGTACTTTTGCTTCCAACTTTTTTTTTTCTTTTTAATGGCTTTGCAGTCTCCTTAGTTGTAGTTGCAGACATATGGTGGTCCTTTATAGAGAAAGAGAACCCTTGCATGGGCATTGTTGCTTTAACTCTTGATTTATATATGTGTTGTCATGCACCATGGATTCAAGCTTTATTATATATATTTTTTCCTTTTCTTTCTCTCTTAGATATCTATGCCTTCCAATCCAAGCAAAGGAGGATTGATTCTGGGCTTTTCTTTCTCTCTCTCCTCTTTCTCTCTCTAGGGTTGAATAAATGACTGAATTGGCTATGATATCCATGAGGGAGACTTTTGGGATTCCATGTAAACCCTAGGTGTGGCTTTGAATAAGTCTTTGAGTTTTTTGCAGTGTAATGATCAATGTGACGTAGGAAGAGGTATAAGAGGCGGTGCCTGTTCACCTCAGTGTGTACTTCTTTTCTTCCTAGTGTTGGTAAATGACCCACTTCGTATGTTTGGCTATACGGTGTGCAGTTTCATAGTACACATGGTACCCACCAGCCTGAACAAGAACTCCAACCCATTTACTTCATTCAATTAAGGTGACGATATTAGTTGTATATTTCCCTTTTCTTTCTTCTTTTTCATTTAGGGAAAATTATGGCAGTACCGTTTTATTTGACTGGTATTAGATGATGGCCCAAAAATATACGATATTTATGGGGAAGTCTTTATTTGATTTTGGGTGCCGTTTGTATAATACCTAGGCTCTAAACAATCAAATTAGAGCCTACCTTCCAATAGTATCAAGAAATGTGGTTTCAACACTGACAATTTTTGTCATAGCCTTAAAATATATTTTCATCTTTATGTATAAAATTTAAAGCTTCAAAAATAGTGTAGATCGATAGATCTATGAAAAATTGAAAATATTAAAAATTGACGGTCCAAAAATGCATTACAAAATACATTATTTTCGAAACTTGAAATCCATTTTTTTCTCATGTCAGCGCATCTTGATGTTGAGATGATCAATTTAAAGATATTTGGGTATCAAAACTATCTCTTCTAGTGAAATTTTTGAGGTAGGCTCGAATTTGATTGTTTAGAGCCTCAGCTCTATATAAACTTTTCCCTTTTATTATTATTATTCCCATTTTATTTTTTTTTCAAGTTTGTTCTCTGTTTTAAACATCGAATTGTATATTACCTTTTTTTTTTTAATGATATTTGTAGGTCAACTCATTGTTAGCATCAAATACCAAAACATGGGGCTGCCTTCAACCTTCAAAAGATGACCACCTTTTCACTAGCATAGTATGTGTCTCGTTGATGTACATGCATGAGTACCAGTAACATGGTTTGCTTCCTATGTACCAATTAAGATTGTGTATGTCTTAGTACTTGGTAACGTGGGTCTCTTAACATGCACCAATTAATGCGGAAACATCAAACCGTCCTTGAACCTTAGTTTTTGAAGGTTTAAGACATTCGTCCTTGAACCTTAGTTTTTTGAAGGTTTAAGACATTCGTCCTTGAACCTTAGTTTTTGAAGGTTTAAGACATTCGTCCTTGAACCTTAGTTTTTGAAGGTCTAAGACCTTCCATGTTTCGAATATTGAACCGACCAAAAGTGTAAGGCAATCACAGTTCGATGGTTTTAACATCGAACCGACCTATGGATATCAAAAAAATGAAAAAATAAATTTAATATGCAGTTCAAAGTTTAGAGCCTCGAACTGGGGGCAAATTTGAAAACCATAAAAAGATGGGTTAGCCACGACCTCCGTATAAATACTACACATTTCATATTTTGGGAGCAGACCGTAATAACGGTACGGACGAAAATTTCCCTTTCATTTAATGCGGACGTAAATTTCCCTTTCATTTAATGAAACCAAAAGATTTCATACTCCAGCGAGGATACTTTCCATTTCCTCCCTTGAGGAAAATGATACTTTTTTGGATTTCAAAGTTTGGGTATATAACCTTTTATAACCCATAGAAAAATATTGTCTAAAGAATTTCGGAAATAAACTCTCAATGTACTAGAAAAAATTTATGCATCAAGATTAAGTAAAGACTGCCCAAGTTTTGAAAAGTTGATGTGTTACAAAACTTAACATTCAATTTGTTTTTTTTCAAAATAATCATCTAGTATTATGTCTCACAAAATTTTAGACTTACAAAGCTCTCCTAAGTAGGTGTTTTGAGCGAAAGAGGAGATGCTCAGTATCCTCTCGCACAAACATAATATATGCGCTGATAATGAATAGTATGTACCACATGGAAGCTCTCAAAATTTTGTGTTCGGCATTACAACAGGATAAATCTTATGTGGGTATATACATAAAAAAACATACTTTTTTTTTTATCGAAATTGCAAAGTTTGAATGAATCTAGAAGCTCATTCGGCATTACAACAGGATAAATCTTATGTGGTTATATACATAAAAAAAAACATACTTTTTTTTATCGAAATTGCAAAGTTGGAATGAATTTAGAAGCTCATAAAAAAACAATGAAGCTTACCTACATTTCTTATGTTTCAGAGTAGCTATAGATAACTTTATGATCACCATGCTTTATGCTTCATGAGCTTAGTAGTTGTTTTCAATCCTTATTCATTTCGTTCTTATATATGTCGGTGTTGAGGATTGATGTCTTGTATTATGAAGAAATAGATATGTCAAGATGGAGTCAAAGGGACGACTCCGGAGGGCCGTTAAAAGCCCGAAGGGGTTGAGGCCTAGAAGGGAATTGCTCTGTTGCCGTATATGGGGTATTTTGGTAATTTATACTATCTGCCTGGGACTATATATATTGTTACGATGGGGGTTAGGTGTGAAGAAGATAGTCATTGTAACCCTATTCTCCATTGCCATTTGTAATACGAAAACATAGAGAGGTGTGAGGAAGAGAGCCATTGTAACCCTATTCTCCATTGCCAATAAAGAAGTTATCATCTCCCCGTGGACGTAGGCACGTTGCCGAACCACGTATATCTTTGCATTGTAGTTGGCTGTCTCTTCCTTTTGTGTTTGTTTCTCCTTTCTTGTTTCGTAGATTGCTTTTTCGTTTCTACAGTCAGATCGATCTCTTGTATATATCCATCCCTCTTATCACCATTGTCCATCTAATTACCCCGTTGATGCTATAATCTTGTTAGCTCCTTTTCTCTCCTTATTAACCCCTTGTTTCTACCACTTTCTCATGTATTTAGCCTCTAATTCTCCATATATGCCAAATTGTAACAGTGTGGGAGGTTTACGGTGATAAACTTTTATGATGTCTTAAGTCATCAAGAGGTCTCTTGGTATGGCTTTCCTCCCCATTACTTCATGGCATCTAGCGGACTCAAACAAGGCGCTTGCCCTTTTCATAATTGCTGAAAAGACTCTAATAGAGGCCTAAAGAACCTAAGTTCTCAATAGAGAGTTCAACATTTTGCTGTCCCCCGAGGTGTTGTCCTTTCATCTCTCACCTCCTCTATCTTCATAAACCGGGACGAGTTCGATGGACAAATTAAAATACCTCCTCAATCTCTATTCTTCATTTTTGCGCAACTACTGAACTGAGCCAAGAGGTACTTTCATGCCTCTGCTTTAGAACAACCTCGCCTTGCTAGCCTTTCATCTTGGTTAGAAATCACACATGGCTAATGATAGATAAAATGCTTGGGTATCCCAATCTTTGGATTGGGGATTGCATCGAGTATGTTTCGATGTCATACCCGCTGGATCAGATTGAGAGTTTTACGTTGTTTCTTACAGTCGGATCTGAATTTCCTTAAGTCAACTTTTATGTTCTCAGTGGGATCCCCATTTACTCTTTCCCTTCTCTATTGCTAAATCTAGGAATTCAGATGTAGAAGTTCTCAGTTCTTTTGGCTAGGACGTAAGAAGATGAGGAAAGGTCATTAGATCTCATGGGATACCGGAGTAGCCTTAACAAGGTTTCTCTTTGGGTACAATATGTGAATGGGAGACAAACGAAGGACTCCTTCAGATCGTTCTCATGGATGACTGCTCCTGTGGATAGAGAGGCATATTTGAGACTCTCCCAGATCCCTAAATCACACCACATGGTCTATTGGCAAAGGATCATCCTTCTCTCTTCTATTTGACAAATTCCCTGACCTTTATTAAATTCCTAGTATAGATTACACCATTTATCTTTGGGAAAAGTTTACATAGAGACGAGGTTCTAAACAATCAAATTTGAGCTTACCTCAAAAAATTCACTAGAAAATGTTGTTTTGATACCCAAATATCCTCAAATTGATCATCTCGACATCAAGATACATGGACATGAGAAAAAAAAGATTTAAAGTTTTGGAAATAGTGTATTTTGTAACTCATTTTTTTTACTGTCCATTTTCAAGATTTTCAAGTTTTCATAGATCTTTTGATCGATACTATTTTTGAAACTTTAGACTTTATAAATAAAGACAAAAATATGTTTTAAGGCTACCACAAAGATTTCTGATATTGAAACCACATTTCTCGACACTATTTAAAGGTAGGCTCTAATTTGATTGTTTAAAGCGTAGGCTCTATACAAACCACACCCTTTATCTTTTGCACATGAAGATCACAATCAATCTTGTCATTTAAATATCAAAATAGGTGGATATAAAAGTATCATTGAATGGACACAAAGTTCCAAAAACAACATTCTCGGACTTTGTGACTCACCCCAAAACATCCAATTTGATATCTAATGAGCGGAAATGATTGTGATCCTATGTACAAAAGGTAAGTAATCTCCTTGTAAACAATATAATTGCGGAAAGAATACCCCATTTAGTAATGGAATATCCTCAGTTTTTTTTTTAATAATTATTATTATTATTATCTAGCCTTACAAATCATCCTCCATAGCATTAGGGCCTTACATCTTACTTGATATATATATTAAAATAAAGTTATTTTGGAAACCGCAATAATCAAAGAATTCTCCTTTTAGATTTGCTTAGTTTGTTATTTGGGTACGACAAGTAGTTGTAGATTAGTGGAAGTCCCTCTGGTTTTGGTATTCCTGGAAAGCTCTATCTTTAAGACTTAATGCATGGTCATTGTTGCTTAAGGATATATGCAAGAGAATTTATTTTCTCTACAAAGTAAATATAATTTATTGTCTGGAAAGAAAATTAAATTTCATTTGTGGTAAAAAAATGTATTAGCTATTCAACATGGCTTAAAATCTCAACAAGCAA